CCAATCACTGATATCAAACAATGAAACTAATTCTATTGCTAGCAGATGACTGACATATGTACATCTATTGTCTATGGTCATGTTGGTGGACAATAACTCCAGTTTTATTGAATATCAGCGGTCAATGGGATGTCCAGGGATATTGGTCAAGACATCAAATCTGGCTATTATTGAATATTACTGTCAAGCTGTAACCATCACTGGACGTGGCTGAGTGAGTAATGGACAAGTGCAGTGGTCATTTGACATATGAACCAATCAATATGTCTCAATTGGATCAATAGTGACCGCTTCCACTGGTCAGTACTGACCTTGTATGCCAAAAATATTTTGATTAACTCTAATACACAGTTATTTCCCTTCAATCAGACCTTGTAATATCCAGATGAGAAGTAGGCCACTAATTCTGTATTCTAAAGAAACTAGACAGAATGGCCACTTCCCAACTTGTAAAGAACAGAGTCTAAACTTGATTCAGAAGGACTGACCTGGGCTATAGATATTGATGATCTACTGAGCTGTGATTCTGTCAGAAGGACTGACCTGGGCTATAGATATTGATGATCTACTGAGCTGTGATTCTGTCAGAAGGACTGACCTGGGCTATAGATATTGATGATCTACTGAGCTGTGATTCTGTCAGAAGGACTGACCTGGGCTATAGATATTGATGATCTACTGAGCTGTGATTCTGTCAGAAGGACTGACCTGAGCTATAGATATTGATGATCTACTGAGTTGTGATTCTGTCAGAAGGACTGACCTGGGCTATAGATATTGATGATCTACTGAGTTGTGATTCTGTCAGAAGGACTGACCTGGGCTATAGATATTGATGATCTACTGAGCTGTGATTCTGTCAGAAGGACTGACCTGGGCTATAGATATTGATGATCTACTGAGCTGTGATTCTGTCAGAAGGACTGACCTGGGCTATAGATATTGATAATCTACTGAGCTGTGATTCTGTCAGAAGGACTGACCTGGGCTATAGATATTGATGATCTACTGAGTTGTGATTCTGTCAGAAGGACTGACCTGGGCTATAGATATTGATGATCTACTGAGCTGTGATTCTGTCAGAAGGACTGACCTGGGCTATAGATATTGATGATCTACTGAGCTGTGATTCTGTCAGAAGGACTGACCTGGGCTATAGATATTGATGATCTACTGAGCTGTGATTCTGTCAGAAGGACTGACCTGGGCTATAGATATTGATGATCTACTGAGTTGCATTGCATGGGAATGATATAACTTTGTACTCCTTCATTCAAGAATGCTACAAGCCTTATATCATGGTCCTGGGCCTCTTGTTTATTGAGAACAATTTATTGGACGATATTAACACATCTGATCTGTGACCTTGAAAGTCGATCAAGTTGAATCAAAGTCATGAATTTGAACATCATATCAACATGCTACTGGCCATGGAACCTGAGTCTATGGGACAATGAGAAGTTGTTTGAAGATTTAAGAAATCTGACCTTTGACTATAAAAGTGAGTCAAGGTTATTCATTTAAACTAACCTTGGAGCTTTTCAAACAGGATAGCCAAACCCTGAGCCTCTTGGTTATTGAAAAGAAACATCTAAACCTTAAAGCGATTTTGGTAACACTTGCTTTCAGCATGTTACAGGCTTAATATCATTATAACTGGCTATATCATGAAAAAGAAAGATAGAAAGAAAGAAAAAGGAAGAATCCCAATAGACAAAAAGCGAGCAGAGAGGAATAATGATATATACTTATTTATTCTACCAAATTTGTCCAATAGTGACTTTTCAGCCATCCATGAATTCTGTATCCTCTGTTAGGTATTGAGTTTTGCTTGATACAGGAAACAGTATAACCTGTTGGTCTGTTTTCATATGCTGCTAACAAGTGGAAAAGTTTCAGCACAGTAAAATCAGAATATCTTGACAATCACAGTCAGTAATGCTCAGTTTTTCTAGGATTCAAGATATATTTCAACATTCATGAAATGGACACAGGTAAGTCAGCAGGCTTGAATAATTGATTAAATATATTTCGTAGTCTACCAAACTATATAACATTCTGATATATACAAACATACATCACGCAGCCTTCCAAATGCTTGAGTAGGTGATAGGTTTAAAGTTAATTGATTATTATGTAAAATTGCCATCATAAATTTTATCTACGCGACATTGTTACGACATTTAAAGCCTGTGGTGACGCTGATTTGTGGGGCTGTGCGTCGATGACGCGTGACAGGGATTTGTGCGGGACTGACATCGATAGCCGTACACTGACAGGTGCAGCGATGAGAAATACTCCATCACATATATACATCATACATAATTAATACATTTTATTTCAGGTATTCGAAGGGTTAAAAAAAGGGTGAAGTTAAATTTTGATAGTCAGCTGTCGAGTCTAGGGTGTAAATCTGTCAATCCAAAAGGCCATAACAGCTGTCACACTGTCAAGCTACTGCTCATCACAATGCCATTAGCTGATGTGTGCCACACACCGATGAACTGGGCACAGATATTCCCCTCACACATTCAATTTCAATTTTATTGCCTCAAAAATCATTTTCATGTCAACAAGTTCACTGGCTTACATGCAGAAAGCAATGCTGTCCATACTGATTGTGATCTGCATCAGAACAAGTCTATGTGAAGGATAAAATCCACAAAACTAAGGGATGGTTTTCATATCTTTTTGATATGAATTTGTTAGAACAAGGCATTTATGAACTATCTTAAAAAAAACATCAATTATGACCAGTAGATAACCAGGAATAGGTGACCATTTAGAGAGTGAACCAGGGGTAGGTGACATTTAGAGAGTGAACCAGGGGTATGTGACATTTAGGTAGTGAACCAGGGGTAGGTAACATTTAGAGAGTGAACCAGGAATAGGTAACATTTAGAGAGTGAACCAGGGGTATGTGACATTTAGAGAGTGAACCAGGAATAGGTAACATTTAGAGAGTGAACCAGGGGTATGTGACATTTAGAGAGTGAACCAGGAATAGGTAACATTTAGAGTGAACCAGGGGTTGGTGACATTTAGAGAGTGAACCAGGGGAAGGTGACATTTAGAGAGTGAACCAGGGGTAGGTGACATTTAGAGAGTGAACCAGGGGTAGGTGACATTTAGAGAGTGAACCAGGAATAGGTGACATTTAGAGAGTAAACCAGGGGTATGTGACATTTAGGTAGTGAACCAGGGGTAGGTGACATTTAGAGAGTGAACCAGGGGTAGGTGACATTTAGAGAGTGAACCAGGGGTAGGTGACATTTAGAGAGTGAACCAGGGGTAGGTGACATTTAGAGAGTGAACCAGGGGTAGGTGACATTTAGGTAGTGAACCAGGGGTAGGTGACATTTAGGTAGTGAACCAGGGGTAGGTGACATTTAGGTAGTGAACCAGGGGTAGGTGACATTTAGGTAGTGAACCAGGGGTAGGTGACATTTAGGGAATGAACCAGGAATAGGTGACATTAAAGGAGTGAACCAGGAATAGGTGACATTAAGGTAGTGAACCAGGAATATGTGACATTAAGGGAGTGAACCAGGAATAGGTGACATTAAGGTAGTGAACCAGGAATAGGTGATATTAAGGTAGTGAACCAGGAATAGGTGTAGGTAGGGAACCAGGAATAGGTGACATTAAGGTAGTGAACCAGGAATAGTTGAATTTTAGGGCGTGAACCAGGGGTATGTGACGTTAAAGGAGTGAACCAGGAATAGGTGACATTAAGGTAGGGAACCAGGAATATGTGACATTAAGGTAGGGAACCAGGAATAGTTGAATTTTAGGGCATGAACCAGGGGTATGTGACATTAAAGGAGTGAACCAGGAATAGGTGACATTAAGGTAGTGAACCAGGAATAGGTGACATTAAGGTAGTGAACCAGGAATAGGTGACATTAAGGTAGGGAACCAGGAATAGGTGACATTAAGGTAGTGAACCAGGAATAGTTGAATTTTAGGGCGTGAACCAGGGGTATGTGACATTAAAGGAGTGAACCAGGAATAGGTGACGTTAAGGTAGTGAACCAGGAATAGGTGACATTAAGGGAGTGAACCAGGAATAGGTGACATTAAGGTAGTGAACCAGGAATAGGTGACATTAAGGTAGTGAACCAGGAATAGGTGACATTAAGGTAGTGAACCAGGAATAGGTGAATTTTAGGGCGTGAACCAGGAATAGGTGAATTTTAGGGCGTGAACCAGGGGTATGTGACATTAAAGGAGTGAACCAGGAATAGGTGACGTTAAGGTAGTGAACCAGGAATAGGTGACATTAAGGGAGTGAACCAGGAATAGGTGACATTAAGGTAGTGAACCAGGGGTAGGTGACATTAAGGTAGTGAACCAGGAATAGGTGACATTAAGGTAGTGAACCAGGAATAGGTGACATTAAGGTAGTGAACCAGGGGTATGTGACATTAAGGTAGTGAACCAGGGGTATGTGACATTAAGGGAGTGAACCAGGAATAGGTGACATTAAGGTAGTGAACCAGGGGTAGGTGACATTAAGGTAGTGAACCAGGAATAGGTGACATTAAGGTAGTGAACCAGGAATAGGTGACATTAAGGTAGTGAACCAGGGGTATGTGACATTAAGGTAGTGAACCAGGAATAGGTGAATTTTAGGGCGTGAACCAGGGGTATGTGACATTAAGGGAGTGAACCAGGAATAGGTGACATTAAGGTAGGGGATCAGGAGTAAGTAACATTAAGGCACTGGACCAGGAGTAAGTAACATTAAGGTAGGGGATCAGGAGTAAGTAACATTAAGGCACTGGACCAGGAGTAAGTAACATTGAGGCACTGGACCAGGAGTAAGTGACATTAAGGCAGTGGACTAGGAGTAAGTGACATTTATATAGTGAATCAGGTGAGTTTTAGGCAGTTAACATGGACCAGGAGACTCTCAAAATTGCAGAATTGGTGACTTTCTGGTGCTTGAAAATCCTTCACACTTTGTGTCAACCTGTGTAAGGATTTGGTATACATACCTTTTCTGAATTTCCTGTTGGGCCAGTCCCTGTTTCTGTAAGTATTCCTCACGGAATACCTGAGTTGTCCGCGACAACAACTGGAAGCATTCCTGTGATGACATGGAGGCTGCCTTAGCTGACCTGTAACGAATATTACATACAACATTGATGTGAACTTCTGTGATCTGTTGGGAGTGGGGTTTGCAGGTTTGACAATAGTTTTCATGTGAGAAAACTATTCAAAAATATTGAAATTAAATTTCAGCTCTTATTAAAATTTCCTCTTCATTATTAATTAATATCTGATATTAATATAATGCAGCAGCCTCATTAAATATGCACAGAACTTGCCAAACATTTAAATCCTTACAGGGAAATGGATAATATGTAAACGCCATAAATTTAATGAAAATTATTTAATTCTATTAGAAGACATTGACAATGTGCAAAAGTGAAAAACCACTGGTACTGTATTTATCCAAAATGGCTGATTGGTGGCCATTTTAAATACCATATTTCATTATTTTTATTTACCACACATGTATTGATCAATTGAATATTTGCTTAAAATTTTGGAAAGATCCTCCATGTTCTTTGATAGATATTGTGTGAATGCACGGAGAAATTCCTACTTTAAACCTAAAATGGAGTATTTAATACTCATAAAGGGAAGGTTTTTTTTCCTGCAGCCAGGTTGTCACACCTGTGCTCTGTCAAATTGTTTTCAAACTGTTATGAAACTTTAACTCTTCCAGTTAAAACTATTTTAGGTATATATGTATAATTAAAACTTAATATATACACAACACACCTGAATTACACTTAACATTGACAGGTGTCAAAACAAGACCAGGTAACTCCCGTCCAACAGCTGACTGATTTAACCTGTCACCAACACATCACTGGTCAGCATACATGTGATCAGCTGAGTACTTGAAGAGTATGGGAAACTAATGTTTGCTTGTATGCTTATGAAACTCACCATACACATGATCATTGGAGTGTTTGACAAGTATGGGAAACTAATGTTTGCTTGTATGCTTATGAAACTCACCATACACATGATCATTGGAGTGTTTGACAAGTATGGGAAACTAATGTTTGCTTGTAAGCTTATGAAACTCACCATACACATGATCATTGGAGTGTTTGACAAGTATGGGAAACTAATGTTTGCTTGTAAGCTTATGAAACTCACCATACACATGATCATTGGAGTGTTTGACAAGTATGGGAAACTAATGTTTGCTTGTATGCTTATGAAACTCACCATACACATGATCATTGGAGTGTTTGACAAGTATGGGAAACTAATGTTTGCTTGTAAGCTTATGAAACTCACCATACACATGATCATTGGAGTGTTTGACAAGTATGGGAAACTAATGTTTGCTTGTAAGCTTATGAAACTCACTATATACATGATCATTGGAGTGTTTGACAAGTATTGGAAAATAATGTTTGCTGGTAGGCTTACAAATCTCATCATACACATGATCATCTGAGTGTTTCAAGAGCATCGGAAAACTAGTGCACTGACATAACTAAGGAAAGGCTCTATATTGTGTCAGACTCAAGAAAAACTGTTACGCTGACATTAAATTTTTGTTTTATGCTTTAGACACAATCATCTTCTCGTGAAATATAAATAAATACTTCAAATTTTAACCTTGACATTTGACCTTGACCTATAAGTGATTGACTTCTAACTGGGTTTTAATCTATCATTGCTTCATTATGTCATAACAGAATATTTACGATTAAAACGTTTCAAATATGACCTTCACCAGTAACATGATAAAATTTTCACTATATGTTTTTTATATTTATAGTAATGGTAACCTTCAACTTTGTTTTCTGAATGGCAATTGAAAGCTAGAACTTCCTGTAAAGAAACAATGGAGAAAGTTGGAGTGTAATCATCCAAACAGAACAAAAGATATTTTACGGAGATAAATTTTCTATTTAATATTTACATTAACAGTGACCTTGACCTTGGACTTTGACAACAAATCCAGATATCACCCCTATGTGGCACTTCCTTTGAAGAAGGAAAATCAGATTAGCTGGTGAGCTTCAGAGACTAGTCTTACACAATTATCATTACAGATTAGCTGGTGAGCTTCAGAGGCTAGTCTTACACAATTATCATTACAGATTAGCTGGTGAGCTTCAGAGACTAGTCTCACACAATTATCATTACAGATTAGCTGGTGAGCTTCAGAGACTAGTCTCACACAATTATCATTACAGATTAGCTGGTGAGCTTCAGAGACTAGTCTTACACAATTATCATTACAGATTAGCTGGTGAGCTTCAGAGACTAGTCTCACACAATTATCATTACAGATTAGCTGGTGAGCTTCAGAGACTAGTCTCACACAATTATCATTACAGATTAGCTAGTAAGCTTCAGAGGCTAGTCTTACACAATTATCATTACAGATTAGCTAGTAAGCTTCAGAGACTAGTCTTACACAATTATCATTACAGATTAGCTGGTGAGCTTCAGAGACTAGTCTTACACAATTATCATTACAGATTAGCTGGTGAGCTTCAGAGGCTAGTCTTACACAATTATCATTACAGATTAGCTGGTGAGCTTCAGAGGCTAGTCTTACACAATTATCATTACAGATTAGCTAGTAAGCTTCAGAGGCTAGTCTTACACAATTATCATTACAGATTAGCTGGTGAGCTTCAGAGACTAGTCTCACACAATTATCATTACAGATTAGCTGGTGAGCTTCAGAGACTAGTCTTACACAATTATCATTACAGATTAGCTAGTGAGCTTCAGAGACTAGTCTTACACAATTATCATTACAGATTAGCTGGTGAGCTTCAGAGACTAGTCTTACACAATTATCATTACAGATTAGCTGGTGAGCTTCAGAGACTAGTCTCACACAATTATCATTACAGATTAGCTGGTGAGCTTCAGAGACTAGTCTTACACAATTATCATTACAGATTAGCTGGTGAGCTTCAGAGACTAGTCTTACACAATTATCATTACAGATTAGCTGGTGAGCTTCAGAGACTAGTCTTACACAATTATCATTACAGATTAGCTGGTGAGCTTCAGAGACTAGTCTTACACAATTATCATTACAGATTAGCTGTGTGCTTCAGAGACTAGTCTTACACAATTATCATTACAGATTAGCTGGTGAGCTTCAGAGACTAGTCTCACACAATTATCATTACAGATTAGCTGGTGAGCTTCAGAGACTAGTCTTACACAATTATCATTACAGATTATCTTACACAATTATCATTACAGATCAACTGGTGAGCTTCAGAGACTAGTCTTACACAATTATCATTACAGATTAGCTGGTGAGCTTCAGAGACTAGTCTCACACAATTATCATTACAGATTAGCTGGTGAGCTTCAGAGACTAGTCTTACACAATTATCATTACAGATTAGCTGGTGATTAGCTAGTCTCACACAATTATCATTACAGATTAGCTGGTGAGCTTCAGAGACTAGTCTCACACACAATTTACACAATTATCATTACAGATTAGCTGGTGAGCTTCAGAGACTAGTCTTACACAATTATCATTACAGATTAGCTGGTGAGCTTCAGAGACTAGTCTTACACAATTATCATTACAGATTAGCTGGTGAGCTTCAGAGACTAGTCTTACACAATTATCATTACAGATTAGCTGGTGAGCTTCAGAGACTAGTCTTACACAATTATCATTACAGATTAGCTGGTGAGCTTCAGAGACTAGTCTCACACAATTATCATTACAGATTAGCTGGTGAGCTTCAGAGACTAGTCTTACACAATTATCATTTCTGCATTTGAAGAGTATGGAGAAAACAGATTAGCTGGTGAGCTTCCAATGGCTAGCCATAACTTACTTGAGTACTGGATTAGTGGACTTCCTCGCAAGAATCTTGGCAATATGCTGGTGGAAGGGTTCCTGTGCTAGGCTCCGTAGTGGTGATTGAATAAGTCTGGGTGATGTTCCCATGACTGGGGTAGACAATTTGTACTTAGTACTGGTGCTGAAATATAACAAGTTTGTAGATCATGATCTGTGTCATATCAAGTCACTTATCAGTGAGGAAAACATTTTAAGACCCTGACGTATGTCACATCAGGTCACTTATCAGTGAGGAAAACATTTTAAGACCCTGACGTATGTCACATCAGGTCACTTATCAGTCAGGAAAACATTTTAAGACCCTGACGTATGTCACATCAGGTCACTTATCAGTGAGGAAAACATTCTAAGACCCTGACGTATGTCACATCAGGTCACTTATCAGTCAGGAAAACATTTTAAGACCCTGACGTATGTCACATCAGGTCACTTATCAGTGAGGAAAACATTTTAAGACCCTGACGTATGTCACATCAGGGCACTTATCAGTGAGGAAAACATTTTAAGACCCTGACGTATGTCACATCAGGGCACTTATCAGTGAGGAAAACATTTTAAGACCCTGACGTATGTCACATCAGGTCACTTATCAGTCAGGAAAACATTTTAAGACTCTGACGTATGTCACATCAGGGCACTTATCAGTCCGGAAAACATTTTAAGACTCTGACGTATGTCACATCAGGGCACTTATCAGTGAGGAAAACATTTTAAGACTCTGACGTATGTCACATCAGGTCACTTATCAGTGAGGAAAACATTTTAAGACCCTGACGTATGTCACATCAGGTCATTTATCAGTGAGGAGAAACATTCTAAGACCCTGACGTATGTCACATCAGGTCACTTATCAGTCAGGAAAACATTTTAAGACCCTGACGTATGTCACATCAGGGCACTTATCAGTGAGGAAAACATTTTAAGACCCTGACGTATGTCACATCAGGTCACTTATCAGTGAGGAGTCACAAACATTGAGGAGAAACTAAGACCCTGACGTATGTCACATCAGGTCATTTATCAGTGAGGAAAACATTTTAAGACCCTGACGTATGTCACATCAGGTCACTTATCAGTGAGGAGAAACATTCTAAGACCCTGACGTATGACACATCAAGTCACTTATCAGTCAGGAAAACATTTTAAGACCCTGACGTATGTCACATCAAGTCACTTATCAGTCAGGAAAACATTTTAAGACCCTGACGTATGTCACATCAGGTCACTTATCAGTGAGGAGAAACATTCTAAGACCCTGACGTATGTCACATCAGGTCATTTATCAGTGAGGAAAACATTTTAAGACCCTGACGTATGTCACATCAGGTCATTTATCAGTGAGGAAAACATTTTAAGACCCTGACGTATGTCACATCAGGTCACTTATCAGTGAGGAGAAACATTCTAAGACCCTGACGTATGTCACATCAGGTCATTTATCAGTGAGGAAAACATTTTAAGACCCTGACGTATGTCACATCAGGTCATTTATCAGTGAGGAAAACATGTCACATCAGGTCATTTATCAGTGAGGAAAACATTTTAAGACCCTGACGTATGTCACATCAGGTCACTTATCAGTGAGGAAAACATTTTAAGACTCTGACGTATGTCACATCAGGTCATTTATCAGTGAGGAAAACATTTTAAGACCCTGACGTATGTCACATCAGGTCACTTATCAGTGAGGAAAACATTTTAAGACCCTGACGTATGTCAATAAAAATCTTACCTCAGTGGAAGGGACACAAAGTGAATGTCGCTTGTCAGGACAAGGAGAAATGTTCCGAGAGAAGCCTCTCTGACAACTCCCACTCCAAGTACAGGGGACGGCGGACTGTAATGCAAAAAAATGACACTTGGCAACTAAAATTACAATGTATCACTGATTTGCCTGCTTCTGTTCTGTAAATTATGGGGATCTATCCTACACCATATAAGTGCATTCCTATGTTTGTCATGTAAAGAAAATTCATACAAACTTTTAATAATTCAGTACATATCAGGTATCCATGGTTACACCTACCTTGACAGTAAAGGTTCTGTACATATCAGGTATCCAGTGTTACACATACATTTACAGTAAAGGTTTTGTACATATAAGGTATCCATGGTTACACCTACCTTGACAGTAAAGGTTTTGTACATATCAGGTATCCATGGTTACACCTACCTTGACAGTAAAGGTTTTGTACATATCAGGTATCCATGGTTACACCTACCTTGACAGTAAAGGTTTTGTACATATCAGGTATCCATGGTTACACCTACCTTGACAGTAAAGGTTTTGTACATATCAGGTATCCATGGTTACACCTACCTTGACAGTAAAGGTTTTGTACATATCAGGTATCCATGGTTACACCTACCTTGACAGTAAATGTTTTGTACATATCAGGTATCCATGGTTACACCTACCTTGACAGTAAAGGTTTTGTACATATCAGGTGTTCAACAATACATTCTTGCTGTTCTGGCAGGTCCTTTAAGTCTGTGCCATCTGCAGAAAAATCAGAATAACAATTGACTTTGGATGTACCATCCAGGCTCAAGTAAATCACGAGAATGACACAATCAAAAGATAGAAAAGTTAGGCCTTGACAAAACTCAATAGGGACACAATCAAAAGATAGAGAAGTTAGGCCTTGACAAAACTCAATAGGGACACAATCAAAACATAGAAAAGTTAGGCCTTGACAAAACTCAATAGGGACACAATCAAAACATAGAAAAGTTAGGCCTTGACAAAACTCAATAGGGACACAATCAAAAGATAGAGAAGTTAGGCCTTGACAAAACTCAATAGGGACACAATCAAAAGATAGAGAAGTTAGGCCTTGACAAAACTCAATAGGGACACAATCAAAAGATAGAGAAGTTAGGCCTTGACAAAACTCAATAGGGACACAATCAAAAGATAGAGAAGTTAGGCCTTGACAAAACTCAATAGGGACACAATCAAAAGATAGAGAAGTTAGGCCTTGACAAAACTCAATAGGGACACAATCAAAAGATAGAAAAGTTAGGCCATGACAAAACTCAATAGGGACACAATCAAAAGATAGAGAAGTTAGGCCTTGACAAAACTCAATAGGGACACAATGAAAACATAGAAAAGTTAGGCCTTGACAAAACTCAATAGGGACACAATGAAAACATAGAAAAGTTAGGCCTTGACAAAACTCAATAGGGACACAATCAAAAGATAGAAAAGTTAGGCCTTGACAAAACTCAATAGGGACACAATGAAAACATAGAAAAGTTAGGCCTTGACAAAACTCAATAGGGACACAATCAAAAGATAGAAAAGTTAGGCCATGACAAAACTCAATAGGGACACAATCAAAACATAGAAAAGTTAGGCCTTGACAAAACTCAATAGGGACACAATCAAAAGATAGAAAAGTTAGGCCTTGACAAAACTCAATAGGGACACAATGAAAACATAGAAAAGTTAGGCCTTGACAAAACTCAATAGGGACACAATCAAAAGATAGAAAAGTTAGGCCTTGACAAAACTCAATAGGGACACAATGAAAACATAGAAAAGTTAGGCCTTGAAAAAACTCAATAGGGACACAATCAAAAGATAGAAAAGTTAGTTACACCTACCTTGCAGTAAAGGGCCTTGACAAAACTCAATAGGGACACAATGAAAACATAGAAAAGTTAGGCCTTGACAAAACTCAATAGGGACACAATGAAAACATAGAAAAGTTAGGCCTTGACAAAACTCAATAGGGACACAATCAAAAGATAGAAAAGTTAGGCCTTGACAAAACTCAATAGGGACACAATGAAAACATAGAAAAGTTAGGCCTTGACAAAACTCAATAGGGACACAATCAAAAGATAGAAAAGTTAGGCCTTGACAAAACTCAATAGGGACACAATCAAAAGATAGAAAAGTTAGGCCTTGACAAAACTCAATAGGGACACAATGAAAACATAGAAAAGTTAGGCCTTGACAAAACTCAATAGGGACACAATGAAAACATAGAAAAGTTAGGCCTTGACAAAACTCAATAGGGACACAATCAAAACATAGAAAAGTTAGGCCTTGACAAAACTCAATAGGGACACAATGAAAACATAGAAAAGTTAGGCCTTGACAAAACTCAATAGGGACACAATCAAAAGATAGAGAAGGTAGGCCTTGACAAAACTCAATAGGGACACAATCAAAAGATAGAAAAGTTAGGCCTTGACAAAACTCAATAGGGACACAATCAAAAGATAGAAAAGTTAGGCCTTGACAAAACTCAATAGGGACACAATCAAAAGATAGAAAAGTTAGGCCTTGACAAAACTCAATAGGGACACAATGAAAACATAGAAAAGTTAGGCCTTGACAAAACTCAATAGGGACACAATCAAAAGATAGAAAAGTTAGGCCTTGACAAAACTCAATAGGGACACAATGAAAACATAGAAAAGTTAGGCCTTGACAAAACTCAAAAGGGACAATCAAAGGACAAAATTTCTTGGCTAATACAAAACAGAACCCAACATTTTTTTTCAAAGCACTGGTAAATTTCCTTGGTCTTTGTTTTATTTCAAATGAGACAAAAAAGTTTCTATGGTTACCATCGTAACAGAACGTCTCCAAGCTATCAAGCCAGGGAAGGATGACTGTGTGGATTCCGGCAACATGAGAACAATGGTACCAATCAGAATTGACAGCATCTGAAACAAGAAAATTCTATTTTCAAATATTACCTCTATGGGGATCTATTAATTTTTCCGCCCCATGTATTTATGTACAAAACACCTGTATGGGGACCTATTGAGAGTTTCCCCATGTATTTGTATACAAAACACCTGTATGGGGACCTATTGAGAGTTTTCCCATGTATTTGTATACAAAACACCTGTATGGGGACCTATTGAGAGTTTCCCCATGTATTTGTATACAAAACACCTGTATGGGGACCTATTGAGAGTTTTCCCATGTATTTGTATACAAAACACCTGTATGGGGACCTATTGAGAGTTTTCCCATGTATTTGTATACAAAACACCTGTATGGGGACCTATTGAGAGTTTTCCCATGTATTTGTATACAAAACACCTGTATGGGGACCTATTGAGAGTTTTCCCATGTATTTGTATACAAAACACCTGTATGGGGACCTATTGAGAGTTTTCCCATGTATTTGTATACAAAACACCTGTATGGGGACCTATTGAGAGTTTCCCCATGTATTTGTATACAAAACACCTGTATGGGGACCTATTGAGAGTTTCCCCATGTATTTGTACATCTGTATCGAGAAAGTCTAAAGTTTTCTTTTAACATTTGAAGACCATCTTTTACTTTTAGTTTTACTTGGAGATCAAAACAGAAAACTTCACATTTAAAAAACTGATTTTTGTCTTTATTGTTCAACATTTTCTCAGACCTCACAACACTCGTTAGACAGATTTTGTTTTTTGCTCATAATTATATGACATTGAAAAATTCCTTGAAGAAATGGTGAAAATAAATCTTCAACTGCCAAATCCAAGTTGGATGCCTGTTGGCAATTTTTCTAATCAGTTCCCTGAGAGAGATCCTTTGTTACCTATCATTCAAACCATTGTCGGATAATTAAGGTATTAAATTTTTAATAACTAAAATCGTGACGGCTCTGACGACGATTTTAACATTTGAACATTTCCTGATTTCAACATGACATATACATCCGGTGAATGCAAACACAAATGAAAGCAAATGCAAAGGAATGCAAACAAACGTAAATGAAACTGAATGAAAAGGAAGAAGACAAATGAAAAACAATTACGGTAGTAAAATATTAATGTACCCAAACAAAAATAGAAGAAGCGAACTAGAACATGTTTGTGAGAATGTTAAACACTTAAGGGCCTACAAATGTACTTAATCTGGCAGGATTTAATCCCATTTTTATCACCTTTCGACTAATTAGAGCAAAAATACATTTTTCTTACCTTAACAATGAGATTATAAACAATGTACAGAACTGTAATTAAGGCAGCAGTATATCTTATGAGCCAAACACTTTCAGCAGCAAAAAAAGATGAATACTTAAATATGTATGTTCACAGTATAATTACCTACTGTGGTAAATAGCTATTGGTATGAAGAATTTAAGTCGAATTTAGGGGAAAAAAAAACAAACAAAAAAAAAAGCCCCAAGATCGTATCGACAAAATTAATTTATCAATGATGTGAGAATTTTCACTCAAATTTTCTAAATCGTGTAGGCATTCTGCAATATCTAAAGGAAAAAACAGTAAGTATCTTAACACCAATGCAAAGTGGAAAATCAAATGTAATGCAGTTTTGTTTAATTTCTAAATAACTGCAATTGTCTACCTCTAAAACTGACCAATCACAACTATGACAACTGTCTACCTCTGAAACTGACCAATCACAACCATGACAACTGTCTACCTCTAAAACTGACCAATCACAACCATGACAACTGTCTACCTCTAAAACTGACCAATCACAACCATGACAACTGTCTACCTCTAAAACTGACCAATCACAACCATGACAACTGTCTACCTCTGAAACTGACCAATCACAACCATGACAACTGTCTACCTCTGAAACTGACCAATCACAACCATGACAACTGTCTACATCTAAAACTGACTTATTACAACCATGACAACTGTCTACATCTAAAACTGACTTATTACAACCATGACAACTGTTACAACTATGACAACTGTCTACATCTAAAACTGACTTATTACAACCATGACAACTGTCTACATCTGAAACTGACCAATCACAACCATGACAACTGTCTACATCTAAAACTGACTTATTACAACCATGACAACTGTCTACATCTAAAACTGACTTATTACAACCATGACAACTGTCTACATCTAAAACTGACTTATTACAACCATGACAACTGTCTACATCTAAAACTGACTTATTACAACCATGACAACTGTCTACATCTAAAACTGACTTATTACAACCATGACAACTGTCTACCTCTAAAACTGACTTATTACAACCATGACAACTGTCTACCTCTAAAACTGACCAATCACAACCATGACAACTGTCTACATCTAAAACTGACTTATTACAACCATGACAACTGTCTACATCTAAAACTGACTTATTACAACCATGACAACTGTCTACCTCTAAAACTGACTTATTACAACCACGACAACTGTCTACATCTAAAACTGACTTATTACAACCATGACAACTGTCTACCTCTAAAACTGACTTATTACAACCACGACAACTGTCTACATCTAAAACTGACTTATTACAACCATGATAACTGTCTACCTCTTAAACTGACTTATTACAACCACGACAACTGTCTACATCTAAAACTGACTTATTACAACCATGACAACTGTCTACCTCTAAAACTGACTTATTACAACCATGACAACTGTCTACCTCTAAAACTGACTTATTACAACCATGACAACTGTCTACATCTAAAACTGACTTATTACAACTATGACAACTGTCTACATCTAAAACTGACAACTGTCTACATCTAAAACTGACTTATTACAACTATGACAACTGTCTACATCTAAAACTGACTTATTACAACTATGACAACTGTCTACATCTAAAACTGACTTATTACAACTATGACAACTGTCTACATCTAAAACTGACTTATTACAACCATGACAACTGTCTACATCTAAAACTGACTTATTACAACCATGACAACTGACAACTGTCTACACATCTAAAACTGACTTATTACAACCACGACAACTGTCTACATCTAAAACTGACTTATTACAACCATGACAACTGTCTACATCTAAAACTGACTTATTACAACCATGACAACTGTCTACATCTAAAACTGACTTATTACAACTATGACAACTGTCTACATCTAAAACTGACTTATTACAACCATGACAACTGTCTACATCTAAAACTGACTTATTACAACCATGACAACTGTCTACATCTAAAACTGACTTATTACAACTATGACAACTGTCTACATCTAAAACTGACTTATTACAAACATGAAACTGTCTACATCTAAAACTGACTTATTACAACCATGACAACTGTCTACATCTAAAACTGACTTATTACAACCAACATGAAACTGTACAACCATGACAACTGTCATGAAACTGACCAATCACAACCATGACAACTGTCTACATCTAAAACTGACTTATTACAACCATGACAACTGTCTACATCTAAAACTGACTTATTACAACCATGACAACTGTAAAACTACTTATTACAACCATCTAAAACTGACAACTTAAAACTGACTTATTACAAACAACCTAAAATGACTTATTACAAACATGAAACTGTCTACATCTAAAACTGACTTATTACAACCATGACAACTGTCTACCTCTAAAACTGACTTATTACAACCACGACAACTGTCTACATCTCAAACTGACCAATCACAACCTTGACTAGTGAAACAATGAAACTGCAACAACAGACATGTAAAGCTGACCAATTACAATGACTGTCCTCATGGCAAACGGTCAAAACAATGCATAGGAATTTGCTGTGAAAGCGATCATGTGTGACGGCCGGCTGTCAGCTGTAGTAGGAAAGAGGAGGACACACAGATCTGACATATACTATTCATCATACCTAGATATTTTCTACTGATCTGCATACAAATTTCATCAATATGCAGCCCAGCAGGATTTGAGCCCCGTAAATCACAGTAGGCCATGTGCTAGCTTGAACTTTATAATTACTGTATATATCAGGAGATCAGATGTCACTCTCTAATTGAAAAACAAGTCAAATGTTGCAATATAATTAATTACAGCGCAAAGCTCATAACCAACAACGACCATTACCTAGATGAAACGTCACACGTTAATTGAAAAATTAGAACGGAAACAAATGTGTATATAATCAGACTAACTATACAACTATCTGCAGTTTGGGAAAGTCCCCCTCACCACTTATTAGATGGGAACATATTCTTACTGTAGACTTGAATTACATATTTATAACAATACAATTTGGGAAAGTCCCCCCACACAACTTCATACAATACAATTTTTTTTCTAATACTTTCTTTAAATTTAGAAAACACAAATATGAAAACTTTCCATGTCAAATGTCATTTAAAAAATGTAAGATAATAGTAATTATTTCACATCAATTATAAATGTAATTATCATGAATTTCTATTTGCTGGAGAACAACTATATTGGACCCAAAATTTTAACAAAGGGCAATAATTCTGTAATGCAATGGTTTCAGGCACTGAATTCGGTACAATGTACATCGCCTCAGTATGATCCATGTATATACCAAGTTATCCTAATTTTCATGCAGGCAAAGTTATTCTCAGGACACAAGATTTTATCAAAGGGCATTAACTCTGTAACTATCGGGTTGCAGTCCCTATATTTGGTACACTCTAATTGCCTAAGTATAAACAATGTATACACCAAGTTTCATGATTCTTGCTCAACTGAGGGCAATATGTGTGGAATGCCTGAAAAATGATATATATAGAAAACAAGAGGCCCATGGGCTTTAACGGTCATCTGACAGAAAGCAAGCCAAACTCTAACAACAGTGAGTCTGCCGTTAAAACAGTGGGCTTTATTCATTTGAATAAACTTGGTAGCCCTTCCTCCCAGCATCCTACAGGCCCAATATCAGCACTCTGAGCCTTTTGGTTACTGAGAAGAAGTCG